AATTGACTCCGATCCTATAATTTGATATGCTTGCGTTAAATAGCTAATATTTTTTTATACTAGCTGAATGTTTCTTTTCGTAAAAAGCTTGTGTTTATTTGTTTTAAAAGTAGAATCTAGTATTATTACCATGTTGACACGTTTTCATTGGATTGAATTAGTTGTTATAAATGGAAGAAAACATTTATAAATTGTTTTACTACAGATGCCATTCCAATTTAATATCATTTTTGAGAAATGAAAAGATTACAATAGATATCATTAGGTAATGAATATAATTGTATTCGAATGTCTATATCCGAACTTTATATCTGAATATAAATATATCTATATTAGCATCAAAATTTTGATTTGACAATGAAAGGTTCGTTATTTTATATACCATATCTGAATTGAAAAAGTTAGTGAATATATGATTAAAATCTTAGCACCAGCAATGTATTTGATCTGGTAAACTGTTCTACTTCTTGATATATGTTTATCTTTTAATTAATGTGTTGTTGTTTCAATTGTTTTAGACTGATATGCTGTATTGCTATGTCTTTAGTTACTATCATTTTACATAAATACTATTCGATGCTTTATTTTACTACAAATTGTGAACCAGTATACTATAACGTCAAGAAAAATAATGGGTTTTATACTAAATATCATTGTCTGATGTCTATATGTATGCTTTGGGGTATATTAAGTGGGCTTCTTTTTTGTTTGAGTTTATGGTTGAAAGGTTCGTTAGCTTTACATAGTACTTAAATTTTAGCAAGGTGATCATTTACCTAATAATAAAGCATATACATCGCATACAATTGCTAGCAGTGATACTACGGTTTTTATTTATGCCAAGAACTATACTAATTACACTGGGTCGTAGCTCTTATAGTAATGAGTCAAATCGTAATCACAGTTAAGCAGTATATCTTGATTTGCACTTTTTGCATACGAGTTTTTAAAAAAGTATATAAGCTTAATTAGGCAAGTAATTCGTGATATCAATTGTACAATTAAAAATTTATGTATCATGTGATAATTAAAAGTAAATTCCAATAAGATATCATCCATGTAATTATAAGCAGCCCTTTTTAGAGTAAAAGGTACTTTGTCACGAACATTTCCGGCATTTTAAAAAGGTAAAATGGAGACACTTTTCAAACCGCCGATTTACAAAAACTACTTATATGATGTTGAAAATAATTTCAGAAGAACTTCACAGATGGTTTAAGTTTGTAAAAAGACTAACAGTTTTGCGTTTTTGCGAATCTGTATTTTTTATAAAATTTTGATAGGGGTGTAAATTCTAACTGAGAAGAAACTCCGCTGACCTCCAAAATTTGAATTTCTCATACATATCAACTGGGGCCTTTTAATGAAAAAAAAATCTACAAAACAACAATTGTTCTTCAAATTTATATGTTAGGCCATGTTTAAACATGGAAAAACGCGATTTTGGGCAATTTCAAGTATTTTATCATTTTCTGTTAACCTAACACGCCTTTTAACGCCTTTTTTTTTGTTGTCTCGAATGGTGAAAAAATGCCTTATTTAGGCCCCAACACTTGTTTGTTTGAGAAATGTTGTTTTAAAAAAAGTGACCACTTTTTCGGCGCGGTCCCCCAACCCAAAGATACATATTAGGGGGTTTGAAGGGGGGCGGCAGTCCCCCTCATCGCCAAGAAAATTTTGGACTTGTGAGAGGCTAAAAATGACCCCAGATCGATCATAAGGTAACGTGTAACCAACGCTGAAAAGCATTTGACTCTATCTCAATCCATTGAAAAGTTGCAGCACTTTGAAGCAAAATAGTGATTTTTGAGACGTCCCCTCGTTGCCATGGTAAAAGGAAATTTAAGCCAGAGCATGTTGTTGCAAAGGCAATGGTCCAGTTAACACTTGTGCCAAGTTTGATTAGTATTGAAGCAGTTTTTATAGTTTTATATCAATTTGAACTTGTAACGGGAGACTTTTCAATGAAAAGAGCCATTTTTCACAGAATGCTCATGAAGTAATGGGTTAAACTGAAAGATATGCAAAAGAAAATAAAGAACTAGTCAACGTACTGTAAAGTATTTTCATCCCAATTTTAGACCTTCCGCTGCCAGAGGGTTATTGTTTTATTGATCACCTATTTGCCAGAGGGTTTTCTAAGAAATTACTATATTATTAATTAATATAATTATTATTATTTGTTTATTATTATTATAATAATTATATATGTTTCCAAATCTGTGAGTATAATTATTATTATTGTCGATGGTATAATTCTCTTTATATATATTATTCTTTTTATTATTTTAATTATTTTATGTGTCATTTTTTCCCCACAAATAAATGTAATTTTAACCCTGAAAAAATGTAGTGAGCGAATAATCTGAAAAATATGCAGATTGATCATTAATCTCGAAAAAAGAAATTCAGTTACGTCATGTTAAAATCAAAAGTTTTCATAAAAAATTTGAAGCCTCAGTAAAACTAAAACTGTACATAGCTATAATAAAATGCAAACCACAGCACTATTTGATATTGCTCGGTTGTTGTGAAATTCATAGCTGTACTACAGGTATAGACCCGTAATGGGGAATATTTCTTTCTTTTTTCTGTTACCTTATTTTGATTGAACTACTTAATATAAAGCTAAAATTATTTGTCATGACCGTAATCCACATTAAACCCTTAAGAGATTTGACAAAATTTACAGCCGATTTATAGATTTGACACTCAGTTATAACTACATTTTACACTTTAATCTCTATTCAAGGTAAATACCTTTAGGCATACATAATACTACTATTTATAGAATATGATGTATCGGTAGAGTATATAAAGCCGTATTTCGTTCAGTTAACTTCGGAACACCCCCATTTTCGGAAAGTTGTTGTGAAAGTGATCTGTGAGCAGTGGGCTTTGACCCACGTCCGGATATACGGAAACTATGACGGACTGGAAATGGATTTTGTCGTTCGAGCAATATAACCCCTGATTTGATCATGCTTACTTCGTTACCTCTCGGAATGTTCGTGTTCTGAGTAAGTTCCCGGTTCCTGGGTCTCGTCCATAGCAACCCCGCAGACTCCCTTTTGGGTGCTAAGGGGTGGACGGGGTAGCCCGGGGACCACAGGTGTGATACTTTAGGTGTCTGTGTATTGTCTAGGCTATCTCTTGTATCGCACCTGTCGGTCCTCTTGGCAAACAGCAGCAGCGTGGTATGGGGAACACTCAGAAAACGAACTGAACAAAGATGGGTAAAAAGTAAGCAGGGTATCGATTCTGGGTTACATTGCCTTATGTCAAAATCTATTCCAGTACGTTCATCATGTTCTCTGTATTCGTTCTATTAATGTATGTCGGGAGGACATATGTCAAATGACAAATGTAATTTTATGTACAATTTATTGAATAAATAAAGTTAAAACTAATGCGAGGACATATAGCATTTCCGGTTTCGTTCATCAGTAGCTATATTAGTGTTTTGAAATCTTTACTAAAAACAATACAGGGAAAACGGATATTTCTAAATATTTAAATATTAGATCATGTTATACTAATATAAACTTCTATTAGAACGATTATTTATATATAAAGAAGCCAATAAAGAATTTCTAGTATTTTGCAAGTACATGTTAAATATAATATTGGACACGTGCACTAAATATTAAATACCAGTAGGTAATCTATTTGACTAGTATCTTACTTGTTAAATAGAATTATAAAATCAAAAATAAATTATTACATAGTATAATTTTAAAATGAAAACACCCAAAATCCAATATTCCCTAAAAATGTTTATATTATAATATTGTATATTTTTTGTAAATGTATAAGTAACAATATAGCATGAAAATAGGGGAAACAACATTTACAAGACTTAAGTGATATTTTAATCCTTATTGATATTTATACCTGTAAAAAGCATTATAAATGGCTTTGATTTTGAATGTGTAAAATTAGGTATGGTACTATATTGATTACATTACTTTACAGCAGATCTACATGTATATATAAAAACAAATATATACATGTACATGCACGAACATCAAAAATTTGATCATTTACTATGCATTATATGACTGACTATATGTATATAAAAATATACATGTAAAATGTATCAAAGCAAATAAGAGATAATCTTAGCTGACAGTGTTAGAAAATGGTATAGGGGAGACAACTTTATATTATTTTTTAAACATTTGTTAAAGCACACAAGAGTTGTCATTGCTTGTTAATTCTACACTCTTCAAGATGATATAGGCTTAAGTGTACAAATATTTTTTGAAAACATAAATTTGTATTCTCCTGCTAACACCACAGCCCCACCCCACTTGCCAGAATAGTTAATCATTCAATGTCCTATTTTCAGAGATGAAAGGGAAATAATTGGGAAAAAATTATATTAACCCTGTACGGACGGACAGATTGACGGACAGTTCAATTACTGTATGCCTGGGGCATTAAACAACAACAAAAAGAAGAAACAAATTAGTTCATTTCTTGTGTTCAAAGTTAAGCCAAAATATATAAACAAATGAACAATTCAATGAATTCATATGATCTTAATAAGTATATTACCCTTACAACAGTTCAAAAACATATTATGTACATCTAATAACACTGTTGCATTCATTATATACAAACATTTGTAAATCTATAATTAATTCATTTAGGTTCAACATAACAATAACATCTAAACATTTTTGTGCCTCATAATATGATATATATTGAAATAATTTAAAGTGTTGCTCCAGTAAGTGACACTTGAAAATAAAAAGTTACACATGTAAAAAATCAATATGCAACTAAAACAAAATGTTTGTGTTTCCATATTACTTACATGAGGCCACTGAAGGTTTTACCTTCACAATATTTTATACAGAATTTCTTTTCCTCCCCCGCTTTCAATTTAAAAATTGGCTAGTATTTGGGGATTTACATGTTTTAAAATGTAGCTTACGTATTAAAATTTTATGTATTTACAAGCCAAAGGGGTTTTATAGTGAAAAAGAAATGTTTTTAAAATTTTTCAAGCACTCTAAAGTTAAAACCATGTCAGTATAATTATTTCTATCCAGTAAACAAAACTGTCTGATGAAAACACACAAAACAAATTAATCAAATAAAGTTAACTGTAAAATAACACAATAGTTTTGGCATGATGGAAAAAAAAGTCTGATTTCAATTCTTTTCATGCAAAAGGATTTATTTCATCATCGTTGACTTTTATTTTATGTAAACGTTTCAATTAAGATGCACATTATTAGAGAAGCCTTTCATCTGAATGGTGGGTGGTCTTTGAATAAAACACCTCATTCATACACTCGTGCAAGTCCAATCTTGAAGTTTTGCGTCTTGTCTTATGACCTGTAGCATCTATAATCAAAACAGCATCTTGATATATAGCTCGTCCTTACTTGGTATAGGTACCAACAGAGGTCTCGGTTATCAGGTTCCGTGCTTTGAGTCAAAGAAATTTCTAATATTTTGAGCACTAGACTTTCCAACAATGCCAGTCAATTCCTGCAAATGAACATTTTAAAATCTATATCAAAGTGTTTCTTTTATTATGAATTAAATATATTGGGTGTGTCACAATTTCAAAAATGAAATTAGAAACACTGCAATGTACTTGTTCTACGCATTAGATAAAAAAGTTACTTAGATATTTTTCAATGAATACTGAAATACTGTTAGTTTTGTATGTATACATGTCTGTATAACTCACTATCTATGTATTTATATCATATATATGTTGTAAATGTTTATGGACCAGAAGCATAAAGACTTATCAATAAAATCTTGAAATCTTGCTATTTGTAGTATCAATTACACTGTACAAAAAAGAGGGACTAAAACATTAACCAGTTAGAACAACTAATCTATAAATAATCTTACATCTACAGATGCTGCATTGATTGCCTCCAAACCTGGAAAATAAAGTAAAGATCAAATTTAAAACTGTTTGAAATAAAAAGAAAGACTTAGCAAATTAACATTTTGCAAAGAAATGAATATTTTCCCCCATAACCTATCATTAAGATTGATTTGATATTTTTCCCCCTTTCAGTTATAAAAGTAATGCGTCTCTCAGACTTAACTTTAGATGACAGATGGTTTCACCAATAATCCTTGAATTTTTTTTTATTTTATTTTATCAGTACTATGTGCACTGAACAAAGCTAATTTAGTTAGAAAACAAGTCATTACTTTTAAACGCTTCCAAAAGCTTTCTTGCCTTTACACCTCCCAATTTTGGTATACACTGAACTGTCCCTAGTAGACATTCATCTAAATTTTTGTGCTTTCTCTTCTTACAGAATGGATTACTCTCCAATTTATTCTCTGTATGAACCTGATAAAAAACAACTTCCAAGTAACATTAATACTATGAAATGTTTGTTAACATGAGAAATTTACTTTAATTCAATTTTTTCATTGAAGTAACACTCATAGGTTATATCAAAATATCAAAATATTTATCTTACAATACAACCTCTGTAGAGCAAAACCCTGTTGGAGACAAAGATTTAGATGGTTGCTGAAAGGTGACATTCCTAAATACAGGTAAAATTTATAGGCAAATCTTTCTGTGGCAAGAAGAAGTGAATTATATACTGTTGTTATAATGAAGCCGCTGGTCTAAAGAGGGCAACACTGCAGAAGTTACACTAAATGTACAAATAATTTATTATTTTAAAAGCAATTAGTTATGTGAAATCAATATTTTTACCACTTCCATTTACATTAGGTTAAAAGAAATTTAAAAACTTTTTAATTTTAACCATTTGAGCAATAAGTCCAGCAGCCTCAGTCTGAGTTGGTACAGGTGTTATTATAAAACCAAGCTCCATGACAACAAACTTTTGCAAGGATTGATAATACTGACTGCTGGATCCTGTCTTCTCTGCCAATACTAGGACTTGAACCTTATTTGCCTAGAATAAATAGAAAGCAAAAACAAATAAAAATGGTTTTTTTTTAATTTGAAAGAAAAAAAGGTTGTTTGTTTTTAAAAATTATTTCTTTTTACATCTCCGAAAAAAAAATTTTTTCTTAAATTGTAAAATTTTTTTAAAAATAAAAAAGTTAATTAGGGGAAACTTGCCAAATAACATTTGAATGCAATTTTCCAATTTTTTCAGAATAGGGAGCTGGCAAAAAATTACATGATTAATCACTGACCTTTCTAAGTTTAGCAAGTTTTCTCCTGACACTAGCCTGAGATACCAGATCTGCCTCTGTAGCATAAACCACACCAATATGAGTAGCTGGATGGAAATCTATATAGCCAAGATTATCTTCAAAAACAACATTCACACCTGGAGGGGAAAAAATATCAGTGCCTTATTCAATATTTACATTTTAAACATGCATATTTCAGTCAGATTGTCCAGGTCATTATAGATTTTCTTTTCAATAAAAGAGGAGTTGGGTTATAATTTTACAAAAACTAAGTTTTTTTGTAAACAGGCTCATAACATGGTTCGGCTGATAACATGGTTCGATCTGGCTTACAGGGAAAAAAAAGTATTTTCAGAGACTTTTATTTCAAACTACTATACAAGAATTTGTTACAGAGTTACCAACGTCCCCCAGCTAAGGGAAGTTTTACATGAAGCACAAAACTATGCTATTTCAAAAGATTAAGGTATGGGTCTGGACTTTCAGTGCAAAATTTTGATCAATGCTAGATCTGCACATGCAAGTAACTGTAGCAGGAATGCCTACCATTACATTTTACTGATAGAATCTCATTTTCAGAATAATATATAAACAATGAATATTTTTCCTTAGCCATTATTCTGAGTTGATGTAGTTATCTATGTCTCTGCCTTATTTATTAATTGTCAATACATTTGGTATTTTTTCAAAATCATTCAGCCGGCACAATTTTTTTTTATCAGTAAGCATTAACTTAATGCATTATTTCATGATATTCATGCTAGTCATATCTAATGTAAGGTTTTTATCTAATAGAAGGGTGTCCACTTAATTTAACTTAATACAACTTCAATACATTTGTACAGCAAAATATTGATTCTTGATAGTGTTTACTCAATATTTTGTAACAATAAACATTCCTCTTTAATTTGTTATTTATTTTCAAGTCATGCATTTTTCATGAATTGTGTGATTGCAGAGAGAAGTGGCTATATAAGCCAGTAATTTCGTCGATTTTATTGCCTTGTCTTCAGATACCATATATTTTCCCCATGTTTTTTTTTTGTAACTAATATTTTCATTTCTTGGTACTTTAAAAATCAATTTGATACTTTGGCATAGAAAGAACTCTAAAATCTGTTTTACAATAAAACTAATGAACTCTGAAATGCCTATGTTCTTATTTGAATTTTCAATTTAGTCCTAAATGAACCTGGGTGAATAACTCAGACGTTAATTGTGATCACTGTGTGTCCGTTTGTCAACCTGTTACATAACAATAAATTCATTTAAGAAATATATAATGAAATAACTCCTTCATGTGTATATGTGTCAACAGAAATACATTTGTATAGTTGTTATCCCTACGTCATGTATTTCAAACCCACAAAATGTGACAAATACAAAATAAATACAGGATGCATAAATCAAGGTAGGCCTATATGGGGGCAATCAACCAAATGACATTTTATTTGCAGGTAATCTGACAAAACACAAAATTGCAATAATCAAAAGCGGAAATAAAAAATTTGCAATATCAAGACAAAAAAGAAAAATATGCATTAATTTTGTAAGAAAAAAAATAACAAAAAAATAAAAGAAACATGCATCGCGAAAACCGGTTAATATCTAATTTATCTTATTATATCAAATACCTTGAATCGCAGAAACTAATTCAGAATTCTGCCACTTTGAATTAATAAGAACATGACCAAAGGGCACTCTCATGCATGCTCTCTCGGGAGTTTGTGTGCATGAAAATACATTTAAATTTCCCGCCATCTTTCAACTTGTAAAGAAAATTACCTCTTTTCATGGAGAGCGGTGCAGATGTAAATTTATCCCTTGTAGAAGTAAAAAAAAATCTTTACAAGTTCTTATCAATTCTAAGAAAAGTAGGAGTTGTCATGTTGAAAACGATGTTGGAAAAGGTTCTTATAATTGGTACAGGGATGACTGGTGCCTCAGTTGCTTCTTTACTACGTCATGATCTGAGTAAAGCAACTGCGATTTCTATGTGGGATAAAAGCAAGGGCATAGGTATTTTATACAAATATATATGAAGCTGACTTCATTTATTAATAGAGTTCATGGTAAAGTTAATGCATCTGATTACCTTTTATTTTGTGAGTTTTTTTCTGATTATTGAATTGGGCCTAAATTTAATTTTGTATTGTGACAACAGAACTAACCAGCTATTTTAAATTTTAATGGTTCGGGGGCCCCAAAAAACTTTTATGAGCCGTTTTTTTAAATTTTTTTAAACTTTCGTCTGTTGTGTTTTGAAGAAAGGGCTTGTGGTATTGGGGAAAAGGAAAGTGTTGTGCCAAATTGTTTTTAAATTTCCGGGAATAGCCCTTGTTAGAGATCGAAAATTCCATTTGTTGGCTTGTTAAATTACAAGTAGAATTTAAGTGAACTCGATGCAGAATGAGTAGAAAAATGTTGCCTGCATATTGGATTTAGAAGCTACTCACTCTGCACAACGAATGACTCTGAAAATATTATTTCGAAGCCTGCTGATCCACTGTAAGAACTTATCAAATCAGCAATACTCCAATAGTATTCTGTTTTAAACAAATATTTTTCCTTTACTATATATTTGTATTAATAAATTTTATTTCTAAGATAAGCGAACAAGTTTCATCACATGCAATTTTTTCATTTATATGACTTCCTGTCACAGTATAAAAACGGGTACGCTTTAAGGTTTTTAAGCCCACTTTAAATTTGTTTCTAACACCTTTTAAAGGGGAAGGGGAAAATAAATTTTTCCCCAGACTTTAATTGACAAAGTAAATTTAAAAACCCCTTTTAATTGGGGCTAACAAAAAAAATTTATAAGCACTGTTTAAAAACTTTTGTTGGGCCCAATTTTTGGCTTTCCCCAAAAAACCAATTTGTCTTATTGATTTTTGGTTTGTTTGTAAGCAGTTTTATAAAAAAATATTTAAACGGGGTGGCCCCCAGTATTTTGACAGTTGATGTCTTTTAGTCTTATAATAACACGATTTTATGAAAATTTATCTGTGTATATTTTAGAAATAACATATGAATATATGATTTAATCACTATGCTCTAGGATTGATCAGCTGTCACTTGGACACCAACATAAGATGGCTACCTACTCTTTTGTTGCTTGTCCTGTGATATTATGTCCCAGGTAAGAATACCTTTTTATTGAACAGGTGGACGTATGTCAACAAGCAGATGTAACAAAGATGGTCGCTGCACTGTAGACCTTGGAGCTCAGTATATTTCTGCTACACCAAATTTTCTACAGAGCCATGCCAAGTATGCATTTTAAGTGTTTTAGTTTACCCCCACCCCCACCCCATAAACAAAGTTTAAGGAGGATTTGCTGTAGTTAGCTTGTTGGTTGGTTGGTCAATCTGTCTGAAAAAATAAAATCTTGTGAACTGTGCTAGCATGTAGATGTGCATGTTTTGTAGAAAATATTTGAATTCCTCCACCTCATACAGAGGTAATTATTGCCCGCTGATCTTTTTTTTTGCAAAATTTTTTTGTTTGTTACAATTTTAGTTTTACTCCAATTATATCACGTTTGGTAATATCTAGATGGGCGCTCCACTTAACTTTTTTTTCAGATTTGATTATCTATGATTATCAATAATTATTGATTTCTCTGTAAGCTACCAACTACTAATCATGATTGTTTTGAGCTCGACTTTTTTTTTTTTTGAAAAAAAAATGCAATTGTGCAGATAAATTGTTATAGAAATGAGAGAATACATACACACATAACACCACATCGATATGCCAGTCCAATTACTGCCAGTCCAGCATATAAGTGATGGTTTCAGAACAGCTTTATATACAGTCACAAACTGCACTACACATTGAAACAAGCTCAACATTCGCATATATAGAGTTTGTTCTCTGTTATCATGTCTCACAAATCAACGATGTCATTTTTATTGTCTTCTTCACTGATTGGGACCAGAGAACTATATATCTATTTCCGAAAGTCAACTGGATCCCGTAAGATCAAGTAGATCCGGAGGATACAATGAATTTAGACAGATAAAGTATATATAAAGGGAGATAATTAAATTCAATACAGTTATATTTTCCCCTGCGTGGGATCAGATAAAGATACAAGTGTGCAGATAAATTGTTATAGAAATGAGAGAATATATACACACATACCACCACATCGATATGCCAGTCCAATTACGACACAGCGCCTAGCAGAAAAGTCATGAAAGCATTGCCACTGCTCATCCACCATCACATAAATGATACATATATATATATAAATGGCTCTTGTTACACTTTGAACTTTGTCCGGGATTAGAAGAGATACCATCATGAAACTTTGTAGGTAGATAGAGTAGAAGTTCCTCTTAAATTCATTGACTGTTTTCTAAGCTTTCTCTTCTTTTAGTTCATTTTTAATTTTAAATAATTTCATATTTTTAGTTACTACACCGAGTTGACTGAGAAAGGGGTATTGCGAGAACTAAGTACTAATATAGAGGGACATCAGGATAAGGTTGCAGGGACCAAACATTTTGTGACGCCAGATGGTGTTAGTGCAATTGTAAAATATTATGTGAATAAAGCAGGTTAGTGAACAAAGACATATAAGCACGATTAATTAACAAACCATTTTGTCTGGAGTTCTTGTTTTTGCCAGTTTTTGCTGAAACACATATTGTCTCAGCACATTTTTCTTCAAATTTGTTCACAAATGTTCAAATTTTACTTTTAAGCGAAACTTATTTATCATGAAATTTAAGGTTTGGTCAGTTTCATTTTTCATGTTTCTACTCTTTGATCTTTTTTGAAAGTATAATTTGCTGCATGTCTAGTTTAAATTTGTCATGAAGGCAGACTTAAGCAAATTCAATGTTTGTTTATCTGTAAGTTGCCTTTCTCTCATTGACATTGCTTTTTTTAACCTAAAAATGCCTTTCTATAAAGATCCAGTACTTGGAAAAGGATACCTTGTCAAAGATGTTTCTATAGCAAATGACAAGGTGAAGGTCACTACAGATGAAGGTCATTCAGAACACTTTGATGCTGTAGTAATAACAATGCCAGTAGCTCAGATACTGCAGCTGCAAGGAGATATAGCTTCCCTGATTGGTGAGTCAGAACTTTTAGTTTAGTTACTATACAACAGTCAACATTAATATTTATGCCATTGATTATGTAATAAAAATGATTTTTTTGTGCCCCCACTATGGGGGTCGCATTTAGATTTACCCTTGTCCATCTTTCTGTCCTTTCTTATGTTGTGTCGCATGTAGCTCAAAAAGTATTTGACTTAGTCATGAAACTTTACAGGAATGTTAGTCTGAGTCAGCATGTGTATTTGTTCTGGATTTATTCAGTATTTGAAGAGTTGTGGTTGTGTGCCTGGGGTTTCTCTTGTGGATTAATACAGTATTTCTTGAGTAAATGCCTAAAGTAAAAATTTGCAATTTTCAACTTCGGTCATGTGTAGCTCAAAAAGTGTTAGACCTAAAGTCATTTAACTTAACAGAAATGTTGGTTGGCATGTGTAGTTGTGCACCTGGAGGTTTGATTGTGGATTTATTCAGTATTTGAAAAGTAATTTTCCTTTGACTTAGTAAAAACCATTCCAAGATGTTGTGTTTTGTGTTCCTTGAGTGCTTGAGTAAGAATCAACTAATTTAACAGGATCAACATCACTGTGAAGCTGTGCACTTGGGATTTGCATGTGGATTTTTTTTCCAGTTTTGTTACAGTTATTGACCTTGACTTTGTATAACTTTGCAATTTCCAACTAGTTCTTGCATAGCTCAAAAAATATTTGACCTGTAGGCCACATGCACAGCTCAAAAAGTATTTTACCTGTAGGCCAGAAAGTTTTACAAGAAATTCAAGAATGTTCGTCAGCATGTGTACTTAAGCACCTTCAGGATTGCTTGTGGATTTATTCATTATTTATAGAGTTGGATTATTCAGTATTTATAGAGTAATTGCCCTTGACTTAGTAAAATACTTTTAGATTTCAACTTGTGTCACGTTTAGCCCAAAAATATTTGACCTAGTCATAAGATTGACAAAAAGTGGAGTGTGGGGGCACCCGTGTCCTATGTATACATTTCTAGTTAATGATAGTTAACGCCTTTGTCAACCCCCACCTCTCCTCATTTTTGAAGCCTCAAATAGTGAAAAAATGCCTTATTAAGGCTGTTTGTTTGTTTGAGAAATGTTGAGAAGTTGCAGCACTTTGAAATCAGTTTTGATGGAAAAAATCAAAATAGTGATTTCTATTGATATTATTTATTAATTATCGGTTTTATAAAAAAATCTATATATGTATATGATCATTATTCAGATATCTTTTACCTTTGACTCTTAATAAATAGAATGATGTATTTTCAGTATCTAAGCTTTGTACTTTTTAGTTCATTGTTTAAACTTTAATATACAAAATAAATTTGTTGATACAGATGATAAAGGTGTTCGACCAGCCCTACAATCTGTAAGTTACTCTGCAAGATTTGCTGTTGGGTTATTTTATGAGCCTGGAACAAAGTTAGATATTCCTTGGTCAGCAAAGTATGTGACAGATAATCAATGTATAAGATACATATCTGTTGATGATAGGAAGAGAGGAAAAAGTAAGATTTTAATTATATGATTTACACATTCTGTTTAGATAATTATACTGTTAGTCTATCTGATTCCAGTTAACATTTAAAATTAATTTATTCATTTGCATTTTACCTTTACAATATCATACAATTTAACTGAACTGAACTTATTGCAGGTAGATTATTCATTTTCTAACAGCGGGCTTAGGATTAATGATGTTTAAAAAATAATTCAGGGCTATTCATATTTAGTAGCGTTTAGCCTTTAGAAACATGGAAGTTTATAGTGGTGTGGTACCTATATTGTGATTATCACGAGTAGAAATATTACTTGCTCACCGATAAATGTCTACTTTCGTTTTGAAAGTGAAAGAAGAAAAATTCATGTTATTTATTTGGAAAGAACGAAAAAGCAATATTTGAAAATATTAATAGAATAAGTGACATTTAAATATATGAAAGTTGAATTTCATCTGTAGCAAATTAACCTGTAGTTATCTGTAGTCTTGAAATATGAAGTTTTTGATGATATTTTTATATTTCACGGTTTGTTGTTCAACTTACTGTCATGGTTACAACTGGAGCAGCCTCAATCTACCTTTTAGTCATATAGGTCCATTCTTTCTGAATAATCAAAATGTTAAATATGATTGCAAACATGATGATGAGTGCCCATATAAAGCAATATTGGAACATGAAAAATGTTGGGGTTATGAAAGAAACTGTGTTTTAGAAAATAGACTGTTTTCACCTTATTGCCCGGAGGACAGTGAGGGCTGGGCATTGACAAAAGAGGAGCAAATTAATTATTTCTGGACTAGTGCTGATTATGGTTATGTTCAAGAAAGACTAAAAGAGATGAAAACTCTATGTGCACCAAAATATCCTGATGATTCAAGTTTGGAATGTTCACGTTACACAAGGTATTGCCAAACCAAAAACATATATCTTGATTTTAGACAGGCAATATTTACTGAAAATGAAAAATTTGAAGAAAATTTTCTTCGAGAAAATGAAATAGGTGGACATTGTGAGCTTAGTAAGAAACGTCTAATGGCGGAAAATGAGCATAAAGGTGCTTTACAGTCTTGGTTTGCAGAAATGGAGCATTTTTCATCCCTGAAATTCAGACCTAATAACAAAGAGTACTGTGATGTTATAATTGACAAACCAGTTATGTTTATGAAACTTAATGATGGTGACAATATGTTTCATCATTTCTGCGATCTCATTAATTTATATATAAGTCTCCATATCAAAAACTCATTTACAACAGATATATACTTGGTCAACTGGGATACAAGTCAACAAGAATATTTCAATATGTTTGGAGAAACATTCAAGGCTTTTACAGAGCATAAAATTATTCATCTGAAAGAATTTGCCAAAAAACGTGTGTGTATTAAAGATGCTGTCTTTCCACTTTTACCCAGAATGATAAGGGGAATGTTTTTTAATATGGGATTGATACCTGGTTGCTATGGTAGCAGTTTGTTTAAAGCCTTTTCCGCTCATCTTGTTCATAGATTACGTATACCTCAAAATGGGCCTTTGAAAAACAAAATTAGGATTACATTCCTTGTGAGAAATACATCATACAGAAATATAATGAACCAAGATAAGCTTGTATCTCAGCTCAAAAGTGTAAAAGAGTATGATGTTAGATTAGTGAGCTATGAATTTAGAAAAATGCCTTTCTTGGACCAGGTAAAGATATCTCATAATAGTGATGTTTTCATTGGAATTCATGGCGCTGGACTTACTCACATGATCTTCCAGCCGGATTGGGGATCAGTTATTGAACTGTATAATTGTAGTGATGCAAGTTATGGAAACCTTGCTAGACTTAGAGGGGTGAAACATTTTACATGGGAAAAACAGGAGAAAATGATACAGCAAGATGAGGGTCATCATCCACACGAAGGAGCACATCAAAAGTTCACTAATTATGCTTTTGATGTAACAGAATTTATGAGACTTGTTGCCATGGCAGTCACACATGTCAGAACAAATCAAGATTTTATTGAAGCCAGAAAATTGAAATTTAATTCATCAAGAGACTTTCTTAATGATGAACTTTAAGGATTTTATAAATGAAAATAATAGACATCAGTACTACAATGCTCATTTTTAATCACAGTAAATGGATTGTACTCGTACTTGTGCCTTCCAAAGCATTTCGTATTTTTCACAAGCTTTTAACATGTTATATAAAAACTGAACAAAAGATTTATTGAATGTTTTTAGCTCAAATTTTATATATTCATTTCTTTTATATTCATTTACATGTTTAGGAGATTTTGAAATTTTGGTATTTTAATTAATGTATTTGTATATCTAATAAAGATAGTATAACATTTTAATGAGTCATCTAAACTCAAAATTGTAAGAGATAATTACTGGACTACCGGTTTTGATTAAAAGGTAAAGTAAATGACTTTGTATTATAGCCATAATATAAATCGTAATAATTCATGGCATCATTCTTCCCCCAAAATGTTTATCTTTTGATTTACATGTTTAATCAATATCATAATGAACCTAAAATTTTTGCAGGTCAGATATGACACACAAACTGATTTTATGATGGGTCGAATTATAGCATTTTGATTTTTTCAAAAGTTAAGACCTAAGAATTTGGGGTAAAACAAGACACCCTGATTTTGACTTCACTTAATATTATACCAAATGTTGGGAAAAACAAGACACCCTGATTTTGACTTCACTTAATATTATACCAAATGTTGGGAAAAACAAGACACCCTGATTTTGACTTCACTTAATATTATACCAAATGTTGGGAAAAACAAGACACCCTGATTTTGACTTCACTTAATATTATACCAAATGTCTGGGAAAAACAAGACACCCTGATTTTGACTTCACTTAATATATACATAATAATAAATATTAATTGACTTGATTTCCACAGGTTCAAGTGATGTCGGACCATCTATCTGCATTCATACCAGTGCTCCATGGGGTCTGAAAAATATTGAAATGGATAAAGACAAGGCTGCTGTTGAGATATTGAAACATTTACAAACTTTGCTCCCAGGGCTGCCCGATCCTGTAGAGGTCAAAGGTCATAAATGGAGGTATTCTCAGGTAAGTCTGAGGGAAAAAAAAAACACATTTTTTTTGCTTTGTCATTTACCTGAAGATGTGTCTAGGGTGATGTACAGAATGTTATGATATCTGTCTGTAGACAATGTCAGCAGACAGTCGGTTTCCCCAGGATATATTTAAATGGATTTAAATGATTGTGTGTACATCATTTGTGTTACATCCAAGTATTTTATATGAATATATAGTTAAACGATGATTTCCTATGCAATTAACTTGCAAAAATTAGTCAAATTTAACTTGATAAAGTTATGCCCCTTTATATGCAAACCATATAATTGTATTGTCTGCAGATTCAGATGCAAAGAAAAAATCATACTCAACTGCCCAAATCTAAATGATTCACAATATTTCTCTACAAGAAGGATGTCACACAAGAGTACAGGATTGTATATAATGTTGTCTTCTACTACACTGCAGACATTTTATTTCACTAAATTATTGTTTAATATCAGTATGAAAGATGTATGAAAATTACTGAAAATGTAAACTGGGATTTGTATGTTTAGTATCACAGGATCTGGATACTTTAATCACAAGATATTTTTAAGGCCAAACTAAATATTTTTCATCATGCCATCAGGCATGTATTCCCCCAGCCGCAACTTAGAAATTTGCCATCAGGCATGTACCCCAGCCTCAACTCAGAAATTTGCCATCAGGCATATATTCCATAGCCTCAACTCATAATTTTGCCATCTGGCATATATTCCCCAGCCTCAACTCATAATTTTGCCATCTGGCATATATTCCCCAGCCTCAACTCATAATTTTGCCATCTGGCATATATTCCCCAGCCTCAACTAATAATTTTGCCATCAGGCATATATTCCATAGCCTCAACTCATAATTTTGCCATCAGCCATATATTCCCCAGCCTCAAAACTCATAATTTTGCCATCTGGCATATATTCCCCAGCCTCAACTCATTAATTAGCCATATGGCATATATTCCTCTGCCTCAACTCATTAATTAGCCATATGGCATATATTCCCCAGCCTCAACTCATTAATTAGCCATATGGCATATATTCCCCAGCCTCAACTCATTAATTAGCCATATGGCATATATTCCCCAGCCTCAACTCATTAATTAGCCATATGGCATATATTCCTCAGCCTCAACTCATAATTTTGCCATTGAGCATGTGTTGCCCAACCTCAACTTTTAAACTAGCCACAAGGAATATATTCCCCAGCCTCAACTCATAAATTAGCCATAAGGAATATATTCCCCAGCTTAAACTCATGAATTAGCCATCGGGTGTATATTCCCCAGCCTAAACTCTTGATTTTGCCATCAGGCTCAGTGAAGCTCTTATTAGTGATATTTTGATTTTAAGGTCAAGGACAAAAGATTGAAATTCTTATCCAATTAATTCTCTGGTAGGCAAGATAGTGAGCAATATAAATTGTTTTTAAAAGTCAATATGGTTATTTTTGTGGCCCCCCGTTAGTGGCGGGCATTTAGATTTACCCTTGTCCGTCCTTCCGTCCGTCCGTCCGTTCACTTTTGTGTCGCACGTAACTCAAAAAGTATTTGACCTAGAGTCATGAAACTTTACAGGAATGTTGATCAGCATGTGTAGTTGTGCACTTGGGTATTTTCGTCTGGATATTTATAGTATTTTCAGAGTTATTGCCCTTGACTTAGTAAAATTTTGCAATTTTCAACTTGTGTCGCACGTAACTCAAAACGTATTTGCCCTAGAGTCATGAAACTTTACAGGAATGTTGATCAGCATGTGTTGTTGTGCACCTGGGTATTTTCGTCTGGATATTTTTAGTATTTTTAGAGTTATTGCCCTTCACAATTTTCAACTTGTGTCGCAAGTTACTCAAAAAGGATTTGACATAGTCATTAAACCTTATGGGCAGGTTGCTCAGCATATTTAGATTTGCACCTGGGGTTTCGCTTGTGGATTTATCCAGTATTTGTAGAGTTATTTCCCTTGACTTAGTAAAAAGATTGACAGAACAGTGGCGCGGTGGGGGCACCCGTGTCCTTTGGACACATTTCTAGTTGTAATTTCATTTCTGTCGTAGATATTGTTAAATTGTTATGTCAGTATGTGTACAAGTTGTTTGTTTCTGGGTTCTTTTCTTGTTTTAGGCATTATAAGACAAAATTGTTTATTGCAGGTGCATAAAGCTTACCCAGACAGTCCAGGTTGTGTTGTTTTATCAGAGACCCCAGCTATTATTCTAGCAGGAGATGCTTTCACTCATTCTAACTTTGATGGATGTGTAGACTCGGCTATCTCTGTGCAGCAAACATTAGCAAAATTAGTCAAATCTAAAGTGTGATATATTTATTTGTTATATATCTGTGATATTATTGATGATATTATGTCTACCTTTGTATTAAAATACCTTCTCAGGAAGTTAAATTCTTTATTTTAGTTGTTGGCTCTTAAATTTCTCTTGGAGTTGTAGACCAATTTTAGTTTAGATTAAAAATATTTTCTTTGCTTGATTGTTACAAAAGCTTCAAGATTATTTGAACCACTCTCAAATCTGCTTCCTGGAACCAGTACTGGTGTTAAATTATTAGGAAACATTTTTTACCCTAGTATAATTCGAACCAATAATCACTTTGGTTGAGAGGCAGACACTTTACCACAAAGCCACCGCTTCCCCTTGTAATAACATGGGAATTTCATATTAGCCTTTTTTAACCAGGTTTTCAACGAAAACCGGGTTATTGTAATTGCCGAAGTCGGCGGGCGGGCGGGCGGGCGGGCGGGCGTCAACTTTTTGGTTTCCGCTCAATAACTTTAGTTTTGCTTTGGCCTATTGACACCAAACTTGGTGTATGGATAGCTTATATCAAGAGGCAGCTTGGGATTGCTACCCAGGTGTCTGTGATCAAGGTCAAGGTCACTGTTACTAAAAATAGAAATTCAGTTTCCGCTCAATAACTTGAGTTTGCTTTGACCTATTGACACCAAACTTGGTGTATGGATAGCTTATATCAAGAGGCAGCTTGGGATTGCTACCCAGGTGTCTGTGATCAAGGTCAAGGTCACTGTTACTAAAAATAGAAATTCAATTTCTGCTCAATAACTTGAGTTTGCTTTGGCCTATTGACACCAAAAACTTGGTGTATGGATAGCTTATATCAAGAGTTTGCTTTAGCCTTTTGACACCTAACTTGGTGTATGGATAGCTTATATCAAGAGGCAGCTTGGGATTGCTACCCAGGTGTCTGTGATCAAGGTCACTGTTACTAAAAATAGAAATTCAGTTTCCGCTCTATAACTTGAGTTTGCTTTGGCCTATTGACACCTAACTTGGTGTATGGATAGCTTATATCAAGAGGCAGCTTGGATTGCTACCCAGGTGTCTGTTATCAAAGGTCAAGGTCACTGTTACTAAAAATAGAAATTCAGTTTTCTGCTCAATAACTCGAGTTTGCTTTGGCCTATTGACACCAAACTTGGTGTATGGATAGCTTATATCAAGAGGCAGCTTGGGATTGCTATCCAGGTGTCTGTGATTAAGGTCAAGGTCACTGTTATTAAAAATAGAAATTCAGTTTCCGCTAAATAACTTGAGTTTGCTTTGGCCTTTTGACACCAAACTTGATGAATGGGTAGCTTATATAAAGAGGCAGCTTGGGATTGCTACCCAGGTGTCTGTGATCAAGGGTAATGTATTTAGTTTTCATGTTATAACTTGAGTTTGCTTTGACCTTTTGACAATAAACTTGCTGAGTGGTAGCTTTGGATTGCTACTTAGATATCTGGGAGCAAGGTCAAGGTCATTTGCTTACAATAGAATTTTCAGCTTCTACTCATTAACTTCAGTGTACTTTGACCTATTGATTGCTGTCACATCAAAATTTGGTCGTTGAAAACCTGGTTTTCGTCGCATTGCGGCGCTTCTTGTATTTTCATAAAATGTCTATTGTTTAGACTACTGCATTATAATTGCAACATTAAATGACACAATGTAACAGTGGGATGTGCCTTGACTTGTAACATTAAATGGTAAATCTAAATGTAAGAATAGTTACACATAGTTTACATTAGAAGTAAATCAGTAGTAGTATAAATTTCTTACACAAGTTTATATCAAACTGATAATAGTGATAAGACATCTGCTTAAAAACAATAGAAAATACAGTGCTGGCTTGCCTGCTATCATCATAGAAGCCTTTCAATCCTTGAAAAGTTTTTCTAAAAAATTTGTTAGTTCTAACCCAGTTATTATGCAAATCTCACTATAAATTTTAGAAAAAAAAAGAAAGTATTATTTGTGCATCATACAAAAACAAAATTTGTAACAGAGCTACAAATGGCCCACCAATGGGAATTTTTATATAAAGCACACAATTGTACTATTTCAAAAGTTTAAGGTATAAACTTATATATATTTTTCACATTTTGTTTTTTTTTCAAATCTGAGGGTCTTAAATATATTATAAAGTATTTGTTTGAGCATGAATCTGTACTTTCAGTGCAAAATTTTGATAAAATTTGATCTGCAAATGCAACAATATTATGGAAATGAAATGAAATCACTCTGGTGTGTCAACATGAAAACATTTTTTGCAGTTTTTGTCATTGAAAATAAGTTCATAAATGGAGATAATTTGAAAATTATTTAAGATGGAGTAATGGGTTCTTTTGCACTGTCTTAAGTTTAACTGAAATCTTTAATACTTGCTTAAGGGGGGGGGGGAAATATGTTTATAACCTTTGACCTGTGTGACCTTGGTGGTGTTGTGCCTAATGTGGTATATATTTATTCAAACATATATCCAAATCCTTCCATGAACGGAAAAGTTGAAGCAGGCCAGACTCAAAACAGCCCTATAACAAACCGCGTTTTGCTTTGACCTCTGAGTGTGACCTTGACTTTGGAGGGAGGAGTCTGGCATGACAGGCCGCTTTATTATGGTTCACATACAATTATAAAGTACTATAAACAAGTAATTGGAAAGCAAGTGGGCACAAATGGCAAAGGCATGAAAACCATGTACAACTTTTTATCTGCTGCTTAGTTTGTTTTGATTTGTTGATCAGTCAGGAATCATAAACAGTTATAACTTATAATACAGGTAACTTTAATTATTACAAGAGCTGTTGGTAGGACAGCAACGCTCAACTATTCTTAGTGCTTGATAGTAAAAAAAGCCTTGATAAAAAGGTAAAATTTTCTCAGTAAAGAAAAAGGCAAAATTTTTCTTTAAATCCATATTACAGTTACAGGCATTGAAGAGAGTCCTATTATGCTCTCAAAGAAGAGTATAAAATTTCAACATGTTTCAAAGCCTTATGTCAATGAACTTTGAAAATATTTGAGGTATTACAAAAACTTTAACGTAAATTCTAAGTCGAAAAAGGGGCATAATTCTGTCAAAATGCTTGATAGAGTTACCTCCTCCTGTTTACAGGTTGGGGTCATGATGGTGAACAAGTGTGCAAAGTTTCAAAGCAATATGTCAATGGACTTTGAAAATATTTGAGGTATTACAAAAACTTTAACATATTATTAAGTGGTTACGCCGACGCTCGGGTGACTACAATAGTTCTACTTATTCTTATCGAATAATCGAGCTAAAAATTTAAGCAACAACATTATGACTGCAGCAATTGCTTGAAATTTTTTGTCTGAAAAGTCCAAATGAAAAAGGATTATAAACATTCTGAAAATTTATGTGTTTACAATAAATAGGACTGGAACCACTGGTACATACTAGTTGTTAATCCAAAGTATCAGTAAAAACAAAATGCTGAAGAGTTTCAGTTTTATTTTCACATCTCAACATTAATGCATAATCTAAGACAGTAGAAAATGTAATATGAAATAACAGGTAACACTTGCACAACATTAAGAACAGATACCGTTTGGTTAAACCAACAGTTTTGAGCTCTTCTTCTCACATAATACAACATACAATAAGAAAAAGATAATTTAGAAAACAATTACATGTACTCACAAATTCTAAAGGACATGCTGCTTCAATTTAAAAAATATCAAAACATGTCTTGGAATAGGTAATGAAAATTAGTAAACATTTGGTTTTTAATAAAGCAAACTGCACTGCTTGTGATTAATTTTGATTATTTTTTATATGATTTAAAGTCTTTAGTATTTACTTTAACATATACAGACAAAACAAGAAGCATTAATATATAAAATGGCACTTACAGGTGCATAGAATGGGCATATTATTCTTTTCTTTTACGTTTAAGATAAATCCTATTATTTCCCATCATTAAGTACATATACATAATTTTAATATTCACATATATTAATTATTCAATCAATTAATATTAACCCATTAAACATGTAAATAATCCCAGTTGAGATTACAAATATCTAATTTTGAAAAACAAATCTATATTCTGACTATTTATTAGACATGATGTCTACAAAACACATTTGGGTAATAAAAAACTCAATTTCTTCCATATGAACACTTCAAGGAGAAAATAAAGAACAAAACGTGTTTTTAATTAAAGAATTATAACTAACTTGATATTGAACAGGTAGGAATTCTCAGTAAAACTGATTTAACTTTAAAATAAATAATAGTCTAAAGCAATCATAAAGATTATCAAAGTTAGAGTTTGAGATCAAAATACCTATGTTTAATTTAATAACTACCACTATTTGCAGACATTCACATGGTGTTAATGGGAACAATAAACTCCATGGTAAATGAAGGTATTTAAAGCTATAGGTTTCATTATGTTTTGCTCACATTGTATTTGTTAAAATGTAAAATGGCTAAAAAAAGCATTTCTACAAAAATGTAAAATACTGGAACTTGAAATCATTGCAACTAACCTGCCAGCCTTGACCCTGATACATCAATCTTACATACAAACACGAGCATACATGTATAATGAATAATGCTATACAGTTGTAAAAAAAAAAATTAATAAACTGCATGTTTGAAATGTCAATTTTCTTTGGTCAACTGTGACGTTTAAAATGTATAAAGCTAGAAATCTGCTGCTTGAAGTATACCCTTTGTTCAAATAATTCACATACACAACTGCTGCAAATTTAAGAAATTTTAGTTAAACCAAAGAAAACAGTTGTCCAGTATTATAAATTTGTATAAGACTATGTTTTTTGTTTTTGTTTTTTTTCTTCACACCAACACAGAAGAGGTCATATGGTAACTTTCCAACTATACTGTTAGAGGAAGACCTTAGCTAGCTGGAAAGCTTCCTAACATGAAAGAATGAAAATTCGACCCACAGCAGACTAAGTCTGAGGGACAGGTGGCTTGAAGTCAATGGCATGGCTTGTTGCTATAATTACATCCCTTGCACAACCATTCATGATGCACAATATAACTGGTCAAAAAATCTCATAACTAATAACGATGAAGGCACTTATGGGTTAAAATATTTGTATGACTTTGTTCATTAACTTTGTTCTACTTAAAAACAGCTAAAATTTGAAAACATATGCTGCATCACTGAAATGGAACAGTTATTATGACCAGAGACATTAAATTACATTACCGTATATTTCTCTGTTATGACATAATCTGTATGAACACCAAAGCTTTATATAATAAAACAAAATGTACTAACAAAACAATAAGTTATTTGTTAAATTAACCCTCTAATAGATATCTTCAACCATTTTATCAATATCCCAAAATGATTACCACTGAATACAAAAGCACAGCAAAAGTGCATAGTATTTATTCATGACTTTTTGTAGATACAAGTCCTGTCAAATTTCTATGTGGCAAAGATCATATAAACCGGCATTTTAGGTTGAATGTAATGAGGCTAAAAAGAGATCACAGAATTAAATTTGAACACATGAATGACAATCATCAAATACCTGTGGCAAGATAACATTTCAACAAAATACATATTTTTCAGGAAAAATGGTCTGGTATCTTTTTTCTTCATAATATTGAACTAACATAAATGTTTAGTGTTGGCATGAATATTGTATATCAAAATAATATTGTCTGGAGGTAAGTTTTGACAAGGTTGCTGTAGCTAGGTGAGGGTTTCCTGATATTTTTCTAAGTTTGAGCAAATCCTATACAATCTTAAAATTAGAAGGTAACTTATAATCATTAATTGAAAGTACTTGTATCACAAAATATTGAAATATGAAACACAACAATTAGATTATCATAAATTCTAGGTCTTAAATAATATAAAAATTGAAAAAAAAATCCAATAACATTGTAATTTTGATTAAGCAGCCTTGAATTCATATTTTCTTGACAAAAGGCAGTGTCAAAAAACAGGGGATTTTTATCGAAAAGTGAGAATTTATTACATTTGTTAATTTGTTAAAATTTTATTTCCCTGCTTCTGAAAAAAATAGGGGGGAATTCTCAAAAATATGGGTGAATCACCCCATCCCCCTTTCTAGAATAGACACTGCAAAAGATATCCATGTTCTGTAAAACTTTCTGTCTTTTAAACTGTTACATAGGAAAAATCCTAACAAAAAAAATATATAATTTTCCAAACAATGCTTTATCCAAGATCTGATAAGGAAATGATTGTCATTGAGGAATGTTAATTTAATAAATATGTTTAAAAAAAGTATATAATCAATCTATCTTTAAGTTTTCTAAAGTGTTCAACAAGACATAATTATTTTTATTTTATTTCCACAAAATAAAAGAACATTTGGAAAATTAACTGTTAATATCATGCAAATATTCTTTAAAATTTGATGTTTAAGAAATCTCACACATAAAACGAATGAAAAATAATATAGTAATAAAAAACTAAGAATGCACTCAGTTGGGAATTATATATAATATGGAAGAAAACAATATTGATAAAAAATCTAAATAGTTTACAAATCATAATTCTTCTTTCTTCTTCTTCTTTGTTTTAGTTGCCTTAATTGGAGCACCTGGGTGGAAATGAGTGCATACATCAGTGAGCCCTGGATGAGCTGTGCTCCTACACAGCAAACCTTGTAAATTGTCTCCCTTCTTCATGTATTCTTTGTATATTCTATTCTCATCAAATTCTTCGACATATAAACTGCACATTCCCTTCATTCTGAAAATTGTAATCAAGAGCTTTTTAAACAAAACTTTTTATGCAAGTAATTGTGTAGACAAATGACTCTTTGAATAAAAGAATTTCATTAACCACATATTGAAGCATGTTCTCATTAAATAATCACATTTTTTTAGTTTTGCAACATATTAAGTTTTGAACTTGTATTTTTCTTTTCTTTCTTTAGATTTTTAGTTACCTGAGCACTGTTTCCAACATTGCTTTGCTCAGTGTGGAAGAAGCAAAATAGTACTCTCTGCATTATTTTAGGCTTGGGTATGCACTTTGATAGAACCATCATCAACTTTCTATAATTCAGCTGGACAGATTTCTCAGCAATCCCTGTTGAACGTAAGAGCCCAGAAAATAGTGAGGAACATGTCATTTGAAGTATGTTACAAATACAATATCCAGACATACTGATAAAACATATTCTAAATACATTTGTCTTATCATGAGAAGAGATATATGTACCTTTCTGGCCATTTGCCTCCCCCTTGCATGATACCTGGGGATTCTTCAGCTTCCAAACCTGGGCCTGACAATCTTTTCACCTTCTTCACTTCTTTCACACCATACCTAACAAAAATTAAATTATTGTAACAGTCATCATTTTTGAGAGTACATGTATTGCATGCTTTTATCAAGGATCTTAGCTATATAGCAAGTACAATAATGATGAGATGAACAGTTGCTCTGTAACATGTAAAATTAAAAACTTGTGACTGTTTTGTGAATTTATAATACAAATGTTACATTATACTAATAAGCTCAAATAAATACTTAACTACCTTTCTCATAGAATATACCTGTAATCATTTCATTAATATAAGTCATTCATGTCACACTCGATATCTTCAAGCGTTTGCATCATGTGATCTCAAGATATAAATCATTATTGGGTCCAATCTTATCAATTTAGCCTCATTTTCATTTTTTGAGTCCAAAACATCCATATCAAATCCTTACTACACTCAAAGTAAAAATGCTTAAAGTAATAGGTCATTATAAATTGTTAAGTATACTGATTCTATACGACTCATACACAGCTACAAAAACTAGCGCCTCCTCAATCATACATTTGTAGGCTAATAGACAGCTATACTCAACAATGTATAATAACATCATAATATACAAGTATATGTGTATAGTTCAAAGCTAGAAAATATTCTGTATATCAACATATGAAGGATATAGTTTTTTAACTTACTTTTCAAGCTCTTTCCCCTCTTCACAAACTTCATCTACAAGTCTGTATATTTCAGATTCTGGAAGAACTTTTAGTGATGGTCTTTTCTTATGGAAGTCATCAAATGCTTTAGCAAGCTGAAATTTATAAATAAAGTACATTTTATCAATTACATCTAAAATTACTTGTTTTTCTGTTGTTTTTCTTTCTTTCTTTTTTTATAATCAAATTTTTTATTTTCAATCAAGCTCGTATTTTCTGAAATAAACAAATTGATTAAGCTACATGTACAAATTTTCCATTTGGAAACTTTCAAATAATTCACAACTATTAGTTTAGTTAAACATATATAGCTGAAACATCAAGACCATTAAGTGGTGTATTTGAGCTTTAGCTATCTTAGGGTACTGCTGAGCCTATCAAAAAGCTTTGAAGCTGACAATTTTATTTCTAGTGATATCAACATTCTATGATCAAATCAATACAGGTTTGTATTATTCTAATACAGATTAAAGGTTTCATAATATTTTAGATATTAAATGTCTCTATGGAGCTTGAAATTTTCATAAATTTTCCAATAACCTGTTATACTGAAGACTGAACTTGACATAGCATTACAGTATACAATAGAGTGAAGATATAGATCTATATTACTAGTATGTGATACTCATTTATTTATATTTCATAACAGATAGTACAGGCATTTCAATATTCCAGAGTCTAGAGAGATTCTTTCACATGCAATGTCTAAAGCACAGGACCTCTGTTCTGAAAGACTTGTTATTAGTTTTAAACCAACTGGCAATTTAAGTTGGACTGCAATTCATATCACAATAATATATTGCAAATGACATTCCTTGAGAAGAATTATTTTATTATTTCAAGGAAAAAATCATTTCAGTGTTTTTTGTCATTTTCTTTTTAATCAGAAAAAAAACTTATTATAAGAAATTGAAAAGTAGTTCCTGTACATACAATATAACCCGTAATCATTTAAATTATCAGTTTTTTTACCTATTTCTCATTTAGGCCAAATAAAAAATATGTCTCGTTCAGGAAACATTGGCCCAAAAATTAGGAGGGTAGGGATTTTCATTTTTTTTTTTTTTAAACGTCTTATTTTCCATTTTCAGATGTGTTGCTTGCATAACATACTTAAACAGAGATTGTAATCAATCAATGCAAACACCATTTTGTAACTTCCAGCATAGTGTGTTTCACTGCAGTCTCAATATGAATGGTATTGGTAAAGAATTATATTAAAATGATCACTGTCAACAAGTTAAGAATGACACTAGCAAACAGTTTAGCATCTTTTCGCTTGAAGCAGCTCTCGTAAATGAATCACTTTTATCAAACAAATGCCCTAAAACATGTTACTTCACCTTCCAAAATGTTGCCCCTTGGATGGCCGTTGACATCTCACACTTGACGTCGTATAATACTTATATGATAAGTTTTTTGAGATTGGCCAAACATTAAGTTGACTAAAACAATGCATGTACATAAAAGTTTATTAAGTAACTCATATCAAATATTTGAAACAATGAACAGCAAAATTCATTGCTTTTTCATATTCAAAAATATTGAAGCTTACCAAAAAATTTCGTATTGAAAATAAAAAAAAATGTTTAGGGTCGGCGGTAAAACAATAGGGTAGGTCGGGTTCCCTGAACCAGACATATTTTTTATTTTGGCCTTATAATTATTGAAGAAACCATTTTTACCAGATGTAAATAGATATGACATTCAGGGAAATATAGTGTGGACTAAACACTGATACTATTACCCCATTACCCCAGTACCATTATCCCAATGCATTAACATGCAATGAAGTGCTTGTATGCATGATATTTTACTCATCAAAGCCATAAATTTATTTAATATGGTAATATAGGTCAAAAATATGATATTTCAACAAGTTTCCATCATTTTGCATACTTATCTGTATATTATTAGCTGGTGCTGTTGGAAAAACCTTTTACAGGCATTATATTTTTTTACATGTGCACATTCAATGACAGAATCACCCAACATTTAGAAGCTGCCGTTTTGACCACACACGTGAAAGTGATTGAAATTGAAATCTTTTTGTACCTTCTCACACTTTGATTTTGTCTTGCGTGATTTGATATAGGTTTATACAAAATCCAATCAAAAACAAACAAAACGAAAAATACGGGTAATGCTTTCATACAGGAACTGCCCATAAACATGATAAAGTATGACAAGAATTTGTGTGACAAAATTTAAGCAAATAAATGTTGGAATACTGATCACTCAAATATCTCAGAAAATAACAAAATAACATAGCAAACCTGAAAAGCAATTGCAGTACAGGCATCACATTTTAGATGACTTGGCATGTGCTTGCTATGAGCCTCCTCGTCATTAAGAGTTGGGGTCTGGAAGCTGATGACACCTTCTGTACCATCTTCATTTTGTGTAACTTCACCAAATGCAAAACACCCAAGTTCAATTAACAAAATAAACAGAACATAAACTTTTCCTAGAGGACACATTGTTGCCACCGTACACTGGCAAATGTAATGTATTGAGTGACAATAAACTTATAAGCTATAATTTATCATAATTGTGCTTTCCAATAACCAATAGCTTTTGTTTACATGGATTCTTAGCAGATGACAGATACTAATCAACTTCCGCCACGTACAATTGCGCAATTGATGATGCGCAATGGGTTTAAAGGGAAGTAACTAGTATAGGCCATTGTCGGTCCTCTTGAAACCTATAAAAGTTATCTACCTTAATTAAATTTACCTGTGCCGATAGGTGGCAAATTTCAATTATGAACGGGCGGTGATTACAAACAGTGCAATTTACAACAGTTGAATGACAGCAGCGAAAACATGCAGAGTGCATGAAGAGAAATTGTTATTTTGGATTTATTGATATTAACAGGGAAAGAAAATGTCATCTAAATCACAGAAGAGTATTAAGAAAACTGTAAAAAATCAACCAGTTACTTCAAGATGCGTTGCTGTTGTTTTCAAGAAAAATGACAAGATAGATAACTCAGGTGATTGTGAAACTTTTGAAAATGAGCACACTGAATTACAAAATCATGAAAATGAAAACGAAGTTAATCCATTTGCGTTAAATTCCAATTTTGACATAAAAGGTAACAATGTATTTGATGCAAAAAAAGTGTTTGAAGAATTTAGATTAAGGAATAAGACATGTTACTGGAATCCAGCCCTGGTTGACAGTGTGAACAGTTTAGAATATGTTGGATTTATTGAACCATTTACAATTCTAGTGAAAGGAGATGACATTCATCTAGAAAATGTTCGCACAGCATGGGGAAGGCGTGTTCTTAAGAACCCTGCACATTATCAGATAGAGCGGATAGGTATTAATAATTTAGTTTGCTCTTTTATACAAAATACATATAGATCTAATAATACAATATAATATTAATTCTACTGTAAAAAGTGATAAATGTTGATATCATTTTTGGTGTACCAGTTCTAATAAATCATTAAATGAAACAACAGAATGATTATCATTACTTAAAATTTATAATATTTAAATCTAAATTATCTTTTTCTAAGTTATTTTATATTTCACATTCTATGATTTTTAAGAAAACAATATAAATTGATATATGTGTCATACAGGGTAGACATTGTATTATGGCTCATGGTCTTTTACAAGACTATCAACTTATCAAGTAAACAATCAAACTGCTATCAGCAGGTTTCACAGATCAACTGGTGGCATAGGGAGAGCTAATTTACTAGAGTACCTGTCATAATAGATTAACAAAACATCCTTATCAAATGCATGCCAAGAGAAATTGTAAAAAATGTAACTTAATAAAAATTAATCTGATTAAATAATAATTTTGGATGTCTGCCTTATTCAAAGGGTCAAATTCAAACTTATTCTTGGATCTCTTCATGCAGTTCACTAAAAAATACTTGAGAAAGTTTTCAATCTAAATTATAAAATGCGTTTAGATAACATGTTATATGCAAAGATATTTTAGTTGTACTAGTGTCAGTATATTATATTGGTTAAAATATTTAAGAAAGTAAATATGATAATTTCTACAGCTTTGTTTGGGTTTAAATGTATAATTTATACTGTTATACAGCTATTTTACCAGAGACGTTGGTCTTAATGTTGGGGTCAGATTGTACGAAGATAGTAAGGTTATGATACAGGTGTAAACATAAATTGCCCCGAAGGAGCAATTAAATAAAGTCGTCTTCAATTGTTGTATCATGTAACAAGGTGTTCATGCTTCATCAGATAAACATCAAAGGGGTCTTAATTATGTTCATGTCCCAATTATTTGACAGCAACATATTATCTTCAGATCAATACAATGTGAGATAATTGAATAAAAAAAGATACACTTTTATTTTAAAGTCTGATGTGTGTGATTTAATTATTTCTTCTTTTTTTTTGACCCTACGATTATTATTGTCAGCATAAAGGTGTCTTATTTTTTCTGTATGTGTGTGTATTTTTGTGTGTGTTTGTTTGGGGTTTTTTTCTTCATATTTTGCAAAGATAATTTTATGACAGTATGTCAGACCAGTATGTCTTAAATGCTCTATAAATACTTCTGGCAAATATTTTACTTGTAAATGATGTGCAATACTTTACAATTCAAATAGATTTGACATTATTTATGCACACTGAATGCTTTTTCATTATTTGACATGCAAACATTACTATAATCTTTATCCATTATATCTTTTGTCTCATTATTTATTCTGCAGATTTTCATAATTTCTATAGCTGCTTGACACCCCATTAATCCTTTAATAAGTACATGTATTTACTTTTGTGAAGACATCCTGTTAGTTTGACTTTTCTGTAAAAAAATAACTTTTTATTTATTTAGAAAAATTAGTATTAATTAATAATCTTGTATTCTGATCTTCCAAAAAAAAAAAAAAAAAAGTCTTAAAAAGTCCTGTTTAACATTCTATGCAATAAATTAAAACTTATTTCAAATACAAACATGTATGAATTTTAAAAAGTTGTCAATCCTTTTTATAGTAGATGAACTTTTAAATAAAATGTTAATTCCCATGCAGCTGTGTTTCTGTGGTGAGAAATTTCAGATATAATGAATTTACAGGATTTATAATTTTCTTGCACAACCTGTGTCCTCTGTAAGGGTGTTAAAGGGCTCCATCCCTTTTTGAATGCATGCTTGAATGATGAGGATTGTACCTGGTTGCATGATTATGAATTTAGCAAATTTGAAAGAACAGGAAGCAGGTGTCCTATAATCCAATTAAAGTGTTAAAATATAACAGCCAATCAATACAAAGTAATCAGCTTTAAACACATTTGGAAAGTCTGTTCAAATTTGAGATTCATGTGTTCATTTATGGTCACTTAAAATTTTAAAGTTATACTTTAAAAAGCGGAATTTTCTGTAAATGTGTAAGTTAACTTTACTTATATATAGCTGTATTATGTTTCTAAATTTTAGATACTTGTTATTGTAAGCATATGATACCTTTGCACAGTTATATCCAACAGAAGAGTTATTCAATTTATTGTATGATTATGTTTGACTTTGTCAGGGTAACATACCATTTAACTTGATGTAGTAGCAATTATGCAGCTGTCTGTATGCCATAAAACAGCAGTTTTGCTTTGAATTCACCAGGCTGACTCAACATTCACATAGCATTTAGTGTGTTATGAACATAAATTTTAGAAGAAAAATATTCATATTGTATATCAATATTTCACTTTTAAATGAAAAATGTTTAAGCATGTATAAGTGAGTGTGTTAGAGAATTTTATGATTTATAACGCTAGAGAAATAGGGAAGTTATAAACGCAACAAGGCTAATATATTTTGAATATTGCTCTTACCCAACATGACCGACTAAACATTGCAATAAATCAACAGTCTTATAAAACTTCCAGCACAAACTTAACAAAAGATTTTGCATAGCATTATACATCATGCATATATGTTAGTCATGAAATTGAGCAAGGAATTCTATTTTTCACAGATAGTTCTGTTTTATAGCAGTATGTTTAAATATCTGTAAGTGTGAAATTGTTGCCTTTAATATTTGGAATGTTGTTGATTCATTACAGAAAGACCAGGGGGCAGTCTATCATGTAAATAATTGCAATGAAGGTCCGACTTCCTGAATAATTAGGCACTTATTTATGACACACTTACCTAAGGTATTTTGTCATCTTGCACATTAATTGACTTCTTTATTACCTTTTTTGACACTGCTGAATATTGACCACTGCTTGTTAGTGTTCGTTTACCATCTTATTCGATGTCGTCTTTTCAATAATAATAAAATTAATGTATATGATATATAATTTTGTTCTGTATAAAGTCTACATAAACTGATATAATTGATATTTTAAAACACCTTTTAATGTTATTGCATAGATATTTTTAAAATACAATGTCTTGATTTTGAGAAGGGTTATTGTGTGTTTTAAGAGAATTGGTCAATGAATAGCCAGTTGATGAACTAATTTATCCCCTTTTTAAAAAAAGATTTTGGTTTTGATGAATGCTTTACCGTAGATTTAGGTGTTTAATTGTGCTGTAATTGCCTGTAATGTTGCTTTCAAGAATTGTTGTAAATACAGTGTTAATACTTCTGTATACCAGACTAAGTAGCTTATGAGGTAACTGAGTGACACATTGTTACTCCATTCAGATCATTACTATAGATAAATTTTACAGTTTTTCACTTTACTTGATGACAGATTGCCTAGTATTCACAACTTAAGTTGCAAAAATAACAAGTCTCTTTAGCAAAGGAAAACAAATACCTAAATATTTTCACATATGTCACTAAATGGTCAAATGGAGCATATTTTAAGGTATTAAATATTTAATCTTTGATGCACCACACGAAAAGTGCAAGGGATCAGACCTTCAACTATCTCCCATAATTCTCTTTCATTTTGGGACAATAGAAGCTAGAAATGCTTGTAGTGTTTATCACTACATGCCATATGTCAGAAAATCCTTTTGTAAAGTAACCCATTCAGATTTCTTTACTCCTAAATCCCCATTTATTGGAAATATGATAAATTGATATAAGTGATCAATGAGTCAGCTGTTTTAAAAGATATTGAGAGTAAAATTCAGAGTGGAATATCAATATTATTTGATTGAGTAGTTTTTTATTGCCGAAGCAAAAGCCTGGTCTTTCATTAATTCTTATAAACACACCTGTAAACATGTATCTAGGGATTTACTTTAGTAATAACGTAATTAAAAGTAGGAATTTGATTAAAAATAATTCTCCTTTGCCACCTCTCATACAGTGATGTTTATAGTAGCCTTAATATAATTCATGACATTAAATTATAGTTGCATAGAAAATTGAACAATTTGATATTTTTTGTTTCTTAATGCATGTAAAGCATAACTAAGACAGAACTGCAGAACTGTAGAATGCAGGTAATTTTAACAGTAAGAAATCAAAGGGCTGCAGCTCTATGGTATTTTCTGATCTTTGCAATCTAATCATACTGACTATCTGTAATATGTACTTTCCTGTATAAGTTTATTTTTATATACTAAAGTTATAATTGAACATCTTACGCAGCGACAGCGTTTTGATTTTCTTCTATAACAGTTTGAGATTTACATATGGAATTTTGCATGAAAAAATAGAATTGCCTCGACTAGGATTTGAACCACAGGCCTCTCACACCCTCAACGAGACCGCTTACCTCTGCACCACGGCGAAGTTATACATATGAACCTTGAATAAAAACGAATACATTATGTAATTCTAAATTGAGAATTTCCATTTCGTGTTTGTAATCCTTATTAATTTCGAGGTATTTTGTTCACGATAAACGTGTTGTTTAACACTGATGAAAATAATTTATCGAAAATCTTCTCGCCAAAACAGTCCGACATGTATATAGTCCACTACTCGACAGTCAGATTTATTTGTGTACTACGCTCTGGAGTATTCGGTAATCGACATAGCTAAAAATAGCATTTTCATTGATTAAAATGATATTCATGATAATCCGAAGCTTTACGGAAATAGCCGAACATTTTTCATTGGGTAAAAAAGATATCCATCCGCGAAATTTGTGATTGTAACCTCATATTTCTATTGACTAATCTAAACTTTTAATGCACTGTAATTCGTTAAATGCCTACATTAAAAATTATTCTTTCTTTTAAATTGCTGGTTTTTAAGCAGTTTTGAGTGAGAACTACTTTGCGTTGTTAGGACTGTTAGGAAATTTTGTGTTAGACCGTGGATGTTAGCTATGTATTTACTGATCTTACGATCAGAAAATACAAAAAGTCGTTTCAGAATATATATATTTAGAGTTTAATTATTACATTTTGCAATTTTAGTATCA